TCTCTCCACAGATAAACTGTCTCCTGCTCAGTGGTCAGCTCTGGTCTTCATCTTACTGTCATCAGAAGAAGATCTGGACGTGTTTGACCTGAAGAAATACTCTGCTTCAGAGGAAGCTCTTCTGAGGCTGCTGCCAGTGGTCAAAGCCTCCAACAAAGCTCTGTAAGTGGGATTTATTCATCAATAAATACTGCTGCTGTCTTTCAACAGGAGGAAAAATAACTTGTTTCCTTACTGTTGTCTCTTCAGACTGAGTTTGTGTAACCTGTCAGAGAGAAGCTGTGAAGCTCTGTCCTCAGTCCTCAGCTTTGTAAAGATCAAGAAACTCATTTATGTTTTTTGTTACTTTGATTACTGAACATCTGTTATTCAATCACAGTTAGTTGTTATTTCTTCAACATGTTTACAGAGTCCAAATGAAAACCTGAACATGTTCCTCCACACCAAAAATTTTTAACCTGTACTGAGAAAAGATCATATAAACTGTTTCACCAAAAGTCCACACTTAACATTTCAACATAAATATCATTTGTCTTTTTGTTCATTATTTCACGCTGCCGCCATCACGCTCGTTCACGCCGTCACGCTGGCTGTGCAGTGGTTGCGTTTGCTACCTGTTGCCTACCTGTGTGGAAAGCCCTGGCTGTTTGTTTTTTGGGTACCGATCTGACTTGGTGTCCTTCGGATTTGAATCTGTTCCGCCGGCTTGAGTCGTTGTAGCCTACTCTCCTTGCTGGTTGCTCAAGGGAAGTTTCCACTTTCTTTCGGTGCTGCTGGCTCTGGGAGCTGTGCGTGCAAACTCGCCGGCCAGTGGCTGAACGGCTGAATCATTGCCCTTTTCGACCAACTGTTGAGGTCTTGTCCTCGGCCGGGATGCCAAGCCGTGGTGCAGGATGCCAGCCAAGAAAAACCCAGGAATCCCCAAGGAAGTGGAGGACATCCAGCAGTCGCTTGACTTTCTCTCAGCGGAAATTAAAACAGTTGCCGCACAGCAAAAGAAAATCATGGATCTAGTGACGGAAATTGAAGTACTGAAAAAAACTCAACCTGGAGAAGGATAAAAGATTCACCTTCCTGGAAAGAAGAGTGGATGATATGGAGCAGTATTCCCGAGTGAATGACCTGATCATAAGTGGTCTGAAAACGAGGCATCGGAACTACGCAGGGGCGGCGGCAGTGGCAGCTGAAGACACCGCTGCTGGGCGCGGACCCGATGCGACCGTGGCCGAACGGGAATCACTGGAGCAACAGGTGGTAAACTTTCTGGACAATAAAGGCATCACCATCAACAGCAATGACCTTGAGGCTTGTCACACCCTGCCTAGCAAAAACAGAAACACACCACCAGCAATAATCATCTGATTCACCAACAGAAAGAAAAAACAGGCACTCCTCAAACAAGGAAGGAAACTTAAAGGAACCATTTACATCAACGAACACCTAACCAAGAAGAACGCAGAAATAGCTAGAAAAGCCTGGATACTCAAACGACAGAACAGGATTCAAGCAACATGGACTTCCAACTGCAAGATTTTCATCAAGACGAACGGATCTACACCAGAGGAAGCAAAAGTACACATCATCAGGGACATCAGCAAACTGGACAAATATGATGCATGAATCCATGGATATTAAGACAGCAAATCAATCAATCAATCAATCAATCAATTTTATTTATAAAGCCCAATATCACAAATCACAATTTGCCTCACAGGGCTTTACAGCATACAACATCCCTCTGTCCTTAAGACCCTCACAGCTGATCAGGAAAAACTCCCCAAAAAACCCTTTAACAGGGAAAAAAAACGGTAGAAACCTCAGGAAGAGCAACTGAGGAGGGATCCCTCTTCCAGGATGGACAGACGTGCAATAGATGTCGTACAGAACAGATCAGCATAATAAATTAACAGTAATCCGCATGACACAATGAGACAGAGACAGAGAGAGAGACAGAGAGAGATGCAGGTAATGACAGTAGCTTACAACAACATTAATGCAAGTAATAATATTATAGTTATAGTTCTGGCTACTGTGGTACAATATGTTGAAAGTATGTATTAATATCTGACAGTATACATGTGTGACAATAGTCATATGTGTATAATAACAGTAGAAGTATGACTAATGACTAATGATGGCAGCAGCAGCAGGAGGCATCTGGCAGGACCACGGCAGCAGCACAACCACACACGTCACGCTGTCCAGGCACCGCTGTGATATGAGTTAATCTGAGAGACAGTGGAGCACAAAGGCTCCGGAGAAGAAGCCGAGTTAGTGACATGCAGTACAGCCGAGTTAGCAAGATGCAGTAACAGGACATGAGTGTTAGCAAAGGGGAGAGAGAGAGAGAGAGAGAGAGAGAGAGAGAGAAGGAGAGAAGGTGCCCGGTGTATTATAGGGGGGTCCTCCGGCAGACTAGGCCTAAGTCAGCCTAACTAGGGGCTGGTACAGGGCAAGCCTGAGCCAGCCCTAACTATAAGCTTTATCAAAGAGGAAAGTCTTAAGTCTAGTCTTAAATGTGGAGACGGTGTCTGCCTCCCGGACCGTAACAGGAAGATGATTCCACAGGAGAGGAGCCTGATAGCTGAAGGCTCTGGCTCCTGATCTACTTTTGGAGACTTTAGGGACCACGAGTAACCCTGCGTTCTCAGAGCGCAGTGTTCTGGTGGGATAATATGGCACTATGAGCTCTCTAAGATATGACGGAGCTTGGAAACCCAACATGATTTGATTAACACAGCTGCAATCTAATAAGTTCACATCCCTCTCAGCCAACCACAAACAGCCACAGCATCAGATAGGGAGTATATATTCAGCATCTGTCATCTTAGAAAAGCCAAAAGAAAAGAAACAGAGTGAGACTGCGAGAGAGAAAGAGAGAGCGCACGCGCACAGGAGAAACTTCAGTTTTACTTTCTAAAAGCTTTTTCTGACTCTAAGTTTACGTTTTTAGTTCACAGAAGCTGGTTATTGTTGTGTTCATGTCAAAATAATGTTTATCAAACGTTTTCACATCTTTGATTTTGTGATTTGCATGCCAAAATGATCACAATTCAATTGGGAAAGACAAGTTCATTTTACAGGCTATGCATCATCAGCCCGTGGAGGTCTGCTCGCAGTTCAATCAGGAGAGACACGTTTTTGGATAGGAAGGAAATTATTTACAATTACAAGTGCACATGAGAATGAAATGTGAAAATGTGAAAAGTCTTTTGGCGATTAGACCCCTTCGAGATGGTGAGCTATGAGGAGGGTGATGGATCTGTAGCCAATTAGGGAACCCCCCCAAAAACAGTGTAAGAGAGAGGGATGACAAACCGTTTGGCGAGAGTCAATCCTTACCTTACCTGGGGGCAGCAGGCTTCTAGCGAAACAAGCAAATAAAGGTTAGGAGAGAATGCATTGCAAAGAAACATGAAATGAACTGAAACGAGGAGGCAGCGAAATGTGACGAACAGATTAGATGGCCTGCATGACTCTAGAATGGGGAAGTTAGTTTTGATTAAAAAAAACAGATGGTAGGGATGAGACTGGGACAAAATTGGGGAACTGCTGTCTAGAAAGCGGGGGATGTGAGATAAGCATGGAAAGGAAAGTGGCAGAGGAAGGCTTGGAAAGGTCTAACCACCGAAAGGAGCCAGGGGTGGAATGCAGTGGCAGGGGAAAAGATTGAATGGCAGAGAGGAAGCTAGGGATGGGCATGAATCTGGAGGCCATGGTGTCTATATGTTGAACAAAATAAAAGGTCAATGAAGACCAACAGAAATGAAGATCGCAAGACCCAAACAGAAAATAAGGTCAGAAGACCAAGTTAATATAATGCAAACAAAAGGCAAAGGTCCGGTGACCAAACATAAATTAAAGTCAGCAAGATTAGCTTGACAGCAACAGAAATTAAGGGTCTGATGACCAAACTGAAATTAACGTGAGTGGTGCAAGGTCCTAATGACCTGGGCCTATATGTGCCGGAAATAATAAAAGATCAATAAGACCAAACATAAATAAAGGTCATAAGACCAAACGAAAATTAAGATCATAAGACCAACTCAAATAAAATGGAGAAAGAAAAATAAGGTCCGGCGACCAAAAAGAAATTAAGTCATCATCATGATGAACAGAAATTATGGCCTGACGGCCCAAAAGAAATTACCGTGTATAAGCATGAGGTCCCGTAGACCTGGGTGCACAAGCTGGGGTCCTAAAGACCGTCAGTAGAAACAAATAAAAGGTCGGGAGGCCGAAACGAAATAAAAGGTCTCTTGACCAAACAGAAATTAAGGTCGGAAGATCAACTTAAATAAAATGGATAAATTAAAATAAGGTCCAACGACCAAACATAAATTACGTCCGATATGACAAAACAGAAATTAAGTGAGTCCTTCTGTCCAAAGAAAATTAAGTGTTGCACGGATGAGTTTTCTGAGGCGGTCCAATGACCTTGGTGTTGGTGCATGCAGCATGAGGTCCCACAGACCCTGATAGAGCATTTGCATGAGGTCCCGAAGACCAGGGTTGATTGAGCATACAGCATGAGGTCCGAAGACCGAGGGTGTTGAGGCATATGGCATGAGGTCTCACAGTCATGATGAGGCTTTTGAATGAGGTCAGACTTGAGGCAATTAGTAAATAACAGTGGTCCCAAACCGGGATGAAGCATGCATGAAATCCTTATACCGAGGGTGATGGTGCATGAGAATACGGGTGCTACAAAAGTGTAGAGCATAAGATGAGGAACTGAGACTGGGGATAGAGTAAATATTTGAGTGGGTGAGTGGATATATCTAATAGAGAGGATGCATAAAATAAATGGCTTGAATGGCTTGAGCATAGAAGGTCGTGCAACCCGCAGATAATAGAGATGGCGGAACAGGAAATTGTGAAAAATAGTCAGGGTGAAATCGTAGGAGTGAAAGTGGCTGAAAATTAGATAGAGCTGAGGGATTAGGGAGAAGCAGTAGCTTTGACATAGAATAAGACAACGACGAGAAAACCCTAAAGGGACCACCACCAGCTATATGAAAACTTACCAGAATTAAGGCTTGAGAGCTCTTTGATTTGCGAGAACTGCGTTAGTGTCGGGGCAAATGTAGGAGGTGAATGTGGATGAAGACCAACGCCCCAGTTGTTGCAGGGATGATGAAGAAATGCCTTGACTTGCAGCG